CGAACACGACGTCGCGTCGCCGCGCGTTTTTTTTTCCCGAGCAAGAGCCAAGAGGGTAATAGAGTTTAATAAGTTTTCACGGCCGAGAGAACGTTGGACGGTTGCCCTCGCGATAGCGCGGCCAACGACTACCGGGAATATCTCTGCAACTGCGAAAAACCGGCGCGCGACGCCCACGTCTTCTGCGAAGATATTTAGAAGCGTCGATCGTCCGCGGGGCTTCCCGTTTCGATCCGATCGTCGAAGAGGAGACGAAAAGACTCTCCGAGCCTCCGCGATTCCGCGCGCGCGCGCGCGCGCGGTTATCGGATCCTCTCGAACGATTTCGAAGCGTCGCTCTCGTTCCGCGCGAGTTCGCGAGAGATCTCGGGGAGCCGCGATCCGGTTCTAGTTCTAGTTTATAGAATAGTTCTCGGCATTGTTTCGATCGCGAGTCGGTCTATTTTCGAGGCTGACCGGCTCTCTCGGCAACGTTCTCCGCGTTCGAGCGAGAGCGCTGCTCTCTTTTTCCGTTTCTCGCTCCGCAGCTCGGTCGCGTCGCGTCGCGTCGCTTTGTCGCTTTCTACCGGCGTCGTCCGTTCGGAGTTTAGAGTTTCGAGATTCGAGTTTCGAGAACGACGACGCTGCGCGTTGTTCTCGCGCAAAAGAGGTTTATTCTCGTTAACCAACTTATCGTCGGTAAAAATACCTCGGTTACTCGTAATCGTAGTCTCGAAATAGAACCGCGCGCTTCGCCGCCGATCGAAAGGTCGGAAGGTCGACGCTGTTTTATCGTTTTATTCGATCGTCCATCACCGAAATCGAGAATATCGTTTTCGAAAGTATTCGCCGTTCGCACCATTTTGGAGATACGCGAAATACGAAGTAACCGTATTCGTAGCCGCGAAAGCTCCTCGTTCTTCGTTCGAGGAGACAACGATGTTTACGAGAATAAATATCGAAGACTAAATATAGACGTCGAAGACGGATATAGATGTATCGAAGACGCGCGGACTGTAGGTTATAGACGAAACTCGAGATCCGCGTCGATGCAGCGGAATGAAAAGCGGAAGAACGAAACGCTGTGGGCGCGGAAGGTTTCGTTTTCGAAACGTCCGAGAACGCGCTCCGTGCGTGCGCTCGCGGACAAATGCGATTCCGACATCGACGTCGACGGAAATTGCGATTCCAGTTTTATCCGGGGCTCGAGAACGCGTTCTCGATGAAACGATCGAAGCCCGCGAGATTTCGATTCTTATTTTCGTTCGGTCCAATCGCCGGATACTCGAAACTTCGCGACGTTCCTGTCGAATAAAAATCCGACCGCGACCGCCGCGCGCCGAGTCGGATGGACAAAAGTCGATATCGCGGTCGGTTCGCGTCGGAGCCCGTGATCCGGCAAGAAATAGCGCGACCTGTTGCGCGCTCGCCGTTGAAACGAAGCCCGATCGATCCATCGGGATCCGCGTCTCGCCGGCGGATCTTCGAAATCGAAGGCGGAAACGCGGTCGAGCCTTTTCCGTCGCGGAAAACGTTCGGTTTCGTCGAGAAAAATTAGGTCGCTGCTGCTCGACCCCGATTCGTTCTCCTCTCTCGCGGCGCTGCTCGGTCGCGCTCGTTCCCGACGATCGAAGACGAAGTCGAAGCGGTTCTCTCGACGAACTTCGCGGATCGAAGTTACGGTTCCGAATTTCTCGTCCCCGAAACTTCCGAAATCGCAGCATCCGCGAAGCGTCGACGGGCACCGGCGAGCGTCGCGCGTCGCGGAGAAGAACGCGTTCGTTCCACCGTTCGCGCTGGCTGCTCGCCAACGGCACTGCGGTACGCCGCGGTCGCGCTTTCGTCCGCGCTTTCGTCCGCGCTTTCGTCCGCTCGGAACTCGCGATTCCGATTCCGCGTCGAGCCGGATGCTTTCGGACTCGGCCGCGGTCGCGTTCCTCCGACCGATTTCGAGGGCTGCTCGGCCCCCGGAAACTAGAAACGATCGCCCCGCGCTCCATCGCGGCCCCGAGAGACTTCGGTCGCGAGGAATCGTGTCTCGACGAGTCCACGGGTCGACCGGGTCGAGGGGTCGAGGTATTCGGAGAAACGGTCGGAGGCCGTTGCGTCGCAACGTCGAGGGAAAAATCGAACGACCCAGTTCCGTCTTCTCGATTCCCTAGGACGACTCTAGAATCTAGAATCTAGAATCTAGAATCTAGCCTCTGGACTCTGCGCCGAGCGCGTGGCCGACAAATTCTCGGGTCGGCGTCGACCCACGGCACGACCCACCACGATCTTCTCTCGCGTTTCATTTTTCTTCCTCGATCGACCACGAGAGTTACGCGAGAGTATCGTACCGTTCGTTTTATCTTTCCGACGATTCGCTGTCGCCTTTGGGGAATTTTTGCGTCGAATCGTCCCGAGAATCAGCTTTTTCATTCCCGACTTTTTCCGTGGAAAAACTGACGCAAAGTCGGAACGGTTTCGAATATTTCGAAGGACTCGAGGACTCGAGGACACTCCCGGCTCGAACGTTTCTACCGAACGTGTTCGAATCGATCGTGGAAATCTAACCGGCGCCCGAAATTCGGATCCGCGATCGAGAGAGGATAAATTATCGGTTTCCAGCGCGCGCTTCCTCTTAAAACGCGTCAACCGGCCGGACACGGACGATCCGTCGCTCTCGATAACGACGGTTTTTCCTCGATCGGCTCCATCTTTAACGGACGAGAGCGAAGCCGCGTCGCGAAAAATTCACGGAAACGACGAACGCGCGTCGTTGCGTATTTTGCAGGAATTTGCCAAGTGTTTTCAAACGGGTAGGTCGAGCGCGAAACGGTAGAAGCGCTCGAGGAATTCGAAAGTACGTACCGGGTGCGCATCGTTTCCGCCTCGCTACGATTATTAAAAGGGGAAACAAACGCGCGTATAGCCGGCCTCGTATCTCGCGATCGATGCGGCCGGCAGGACTCGGGACGATCCACGCGTACGCGTATCTACGCCGCTATCTCGTATCGCCCAAACGCTCGCGTTCGATTAGCATTTCCTCGTAGCATATCGACGTTTTTCGCGCGGAACGTTCTACTTTTTCGTAGAGTCGTCGAAATAAAAGTAGCGCGGAATTCGGTAGCATCGAACGAAAAACTCGAACCGAAAAGCAGCGGCGACGCCGCGCGGGGGTCGAGCTTCGAAGGGTTCGGAGATGGCTGCTCTCGAGAAGAAGCGTCGAGATCGACGGTTGTCTCGTCGCGAGTCCAAATTTAGACGTCCGATGCGAGGCGAACGTCGAAGCCTCGAGGCGGTTATCTTCCTGGTAAAAATAAAGTTTCGGGCGCGAAAAGTACGGAAGAAATTTTCTGTTATCGGAGACGAGCGATAGGCGAGAGACTGCCGATAAAAGGATCGCCGCGAGTCGCGCTCGTTTTTCGCGACGGGATCGATTCGAGTTTAAACGCTTCGGCGAGCCGGGCCGCGCGCGTTGGAAATTCGCGTCCCGTGAACGCTGATCGAGATTACCGGTCGGATCGGCGAACCTTTCGACCGACCGACCGCGGATGCGGTCACCGATAACGGTCGCCGGACGAGAAATTGTACGACGCTTCCTTGCGACGATCGCCGCCGGGGAGACTCGACTCGACTCGACTCGACTCGACTCGGCTCGGTTTCGCTCGTCCTCGGCGCCCTGTCTCCCGATTCGCTCGAATTTACGCCCGGAAACGACGTCGGCCGGACGGGAAAGCGGCCGGGATACAGCCTCGTCGGGAAGACGGTCGGTAGCCGTCTCGTATAGTTCCCGCGCGTACAGTTTTTCCGAGACGTCGACGTTCCGAGCCGCGAAGAGATCCGAACGATCGTCGCGCGCGCGAGCGACGCCCTCGAATCGTTTCTCGGAAACCGGATAGGCCGCGCTCGATCGAGCGAAGGACACCGAGACCGGATACGGATCACCGGCTGCGACCGATCCGCGACGATCTTGGAAATCCCCGATCGGGAACGGGGGCCTGGCGAGCGTCACTCTCGGTCGACCGACGCTTTCCTCGGATCTAGAACGATCTAGAATCTGGATAATAATAGCGCAGCTTCCCCGAGCCGTTTTGGCCAGGACGACGATCGCGACGAGCCTGCCCGTTGCCGAAATTTGGAAATTTGGAAATGTTTACGCTCGCGTTTCGACTCGCCGGGTAAAGAGACAGAGACGTCGTCGTTTCGCTATCCTCTGTTTCGTCTCGTTCGACGGCCTTTGCTCGTAGATTCGTAAAGAACGGCGCAGCCTCGTCCCCACGGGCATCGAGGAGAACGAAGAAGTTTCGCCGAAAGGAGGCCTCCGCGAGAAGAATACCGAATACGGCCGAGACGCGAGGGACGCGGGCCGAGCAAGGATTTTCAGGTGGCCGCGCGCGAGATTTCGTCCTTCGAGCTCGGACGTTTCTTTCCATCGCGGGCGCGGACGCGGATACCTTGGACACCGTCGCGCCGCTCTCGGCTCGGGAACGATGGACGTCGAACCGAACGAGCTCCTCTTCCTCTCCGAACTCCGATTTCGGAAATCGGAATTCCGAATCGTGCCCTGGATCGCGGATCTCCGTCTCCGACGACGTCGATCGTTGCCCTTGAAACGCGCGCGCTCTCTCCGCCACGTTTCGCGTCTCGCGTTCCGCGTCCAAACGTTTGCTCGTTCCCTTCCTCGAGGCCGCTTTTATCGCAGGGCTAAAGATATCGCGCGCGCGCGCGCGCGCGAGTCCGCGTGCTCGTCGCCTTGGCAAAGGCGACCATCGGTCACCGACATTGTTCGCCGCGAGTCGTTCCTCTTCCTCCGAGGCTTACCGGGACGACGAAACCGGCGACCGAAAGGGAGACGTCGAGGATGACACGTCCGAATAATGCTAATTTAGACTTGTTTCAAAATGTTGGAAAACGAGCTGTCCGATTGGAAACGGGACAGAGAGCGCGCGGTCGAGAACCGAGTCGAAACCCCGGTCGAAAGCGACCGGTTTACAAGAGGGATATCTCTGATCGCGCGCTTTGTTCGATCTTTTCAGAACGGAGATCTGTGCATATCGATCCTGCATCCGCCCGTAGACGATCCACAGAGCGGCGAGCTGCCGTGCGAGAGGTGGAATCCGACACAGAACGTCAGGTGAGTGTCCCGACGATCGAGAATCGAGAGTCCGAGCGAAAACGAGGACGGGGGACGCGCGCGGCGCGTAGAAAATGCAAGCTCGGCCGCAGGCCGGGGTAAGCCGCGACGGATCCCGTCGTCTTATCGGATATCGAGAAGGCGGAGAGAAGCAACCCCGGACAAAAACGTTGAACGAGTTTTGGTTTTCGCACAGGACGATCCTGCTGTCGGTGATCTCGCTCCTGAACGAGCCGAACACGTACAGTCCCGCCAACGTGGATGCCTCGGTGATGTATAGGCGTTGGCGCGACTCCAAGGGTCGGGACAAAGAGTACGAAAATATCATAAGGTACGGTATCGTCTAATATCGAATATACGATATCTAACGTCTAACCGTATAATATCCAATAGCGATCCGTTCCGTCCCCTTTCCCACCGCGACCCAATCTTTTTGCGAACATCGATCGCGCGACGATCCTTCCCTCGTTTATTCGTCGCACGGTTGCAAAAAGAATGCCGTGCCTTTTCCTCGATCGTCCATGTATACCACCGATATTCTTCCCTGTTCTTTTCTCGCAGCTGGCGCGATATCTCTCCCGTTGCTTTTCCCTCGCATAAAAGCTTCTTCGTCTTCGACCGGCAACGGGGCAGCAACGAAAACATTCGAAAAATTATGTTTCTTATCGAAGGAAGAGATACATTTTTAACCGTTGCTCCTTGGAATCGATTCGGGAAAACTTGACATATTTTGCACAGAGATCCGCAGCGTAGCCGACGAGCCCTCGCGGTATCGACTGCTCTGCGGTATACGTTGTACCGGCTCCGCGTACGGACCGAATCGAACGCGCCTACGATCCATGGAATCGTTCGACGCTATTTTCACCAAATGTGCTTGCCAAATTTTCATTTCGCAATCGTTATCGTAGGAAACTCGTCCGTTTAGCGCGCTGGTAAAAATGCCGTCGAAAAGAAAAACTCGTTAATTCCTTAATTTCGCGTAGAAATTGCCGTAACTCGCGGAGCGCTTCGCTCGGCGAGAAAGTCGATTCTTTCTCGCGGACGAGCACGGAGCGACGATTCTCAACGGGCATTGTTCTGGCGATTCGCAGGAAACAGGCGCAGGCTGCCAAGATGGAGGCGGAGAAGGAGGGCATCGTGGTCCCGGTGACGCTCGAGGACTACTGCATAAAGACGAACGCGAGGCCGGCCGAGCAGCAGCTGGACATGACGGACTTCTACGACGACGAGTACGAGCTCGACGACGACGAGGACGATCAATTGAGCGCCAGCGAGTACGAGGACGGGGACGACAGCGGCAATGGGGAGTCGTGATCCATTTCCTAAAGAGAGGACGACGAAAAAAAAAAGCAATCGATGAGAGCACTCAAATATTAACGAAAGACAAAAAAAGCAAAAAAAGAAACAAAGAAAACAAAACAAACATAAGTCGCTAATTATTATCAGTTCTGTATAGATTAATAAATTAACGGGCTTCTAAACCGAATGCTCTCTCTCTCTATCTTTCTCTCTCTCTCTCTGTCTCTATCTATCTCTATCGAAGACGTGCCACCTATAAATTCAAGTACGCGTAATCTAACCATTTTGTTTCCTCGTTGAGCGGACTATCTCGAGACCGCGTACATAGATTTCAGAATGTCGTCAATTATCGCGCCGAACTGCGAATTCGTCGATTTTCCTCGTCCTCTTTCTCGTCGTTCTCGTCCCGTTAAGTTTCTTTCTCTCTCTCTCTCTCTCTCTCTCTCTCTCTCTCTGCTAAGGTCGATTCTACGCCGAAGGGGGACTCGTTGTCGGGCCGCGCGGAGCTTCCGGTCGAGTAACTTGCAGACCATAACGAGATTCCATCGAGACCGAGCGAGAGTCCCCTTCCGCGGAGATCCCGAAAATCTAGAAACCGATCGTATCGATAAAGGCGATGCCCCGTTTACGAGCTCGTTGAATCGAGCAACGCGTCGCGTACGGTGCGCGACGACGAGTATACTCGGTTAGAGGAGAGCATCGTGCTTGTTCCGTTGTGGTTGGCACGTCTGTCTTTTTTAACTAGGCGAAAGGAATACGGCAGGAGAGGACCGATCGATTTACCCCGCCTCTCGCCACCGTCGCTAGCCGCTGTCTTTCTCAACGAAAGAAACGCGAACGAAGTTGTAAAACGGATTTAAAACGGCAGTTCGAATCGCGATATCGGACCGGTTCCGAGCAATCGGCGAGGGTACGTCGATCGATCCTGCGTTTCTCGAGACTCCGATGTGGAATTTGCATTCGAATAAATTGACAACACCCCGTTTCGTGTGAATTATTATTTATGCTACGAAACCAAAAGCTGGGATGGAAATTCGATGTGCGAGCGAGAATAATTGAACGGAGGAACGAACCGTCGGCGACCGTGCGAGCACTCGACGCCGATTTTTCTTACACGATCCGCGTCGAGAGAGGATTTTTCGATCGATGCTCGAGCCGGAAGCAGGCTGGGCGTCGTAATTTCTAAGCTCGTTGGGACGGAAAGTATGCGAACAAACGCGCGAGAATCGTTTCGATATCGAATCGTCGTGATTTTTCGTTCGCTCGAGGCTCGCCGTCGGGTCGTTCGTCCCCGATTTCTAGACGTAGACGATAATTTTTGCTATGACCGATATATATATATATATATTTTGATTTGTCATTGACATTGCCAAGTATCTTGACGGCGAGAAATATTGTTTCCCGTCGGCGTGCGTTGCGTCGCGTCCACGAAATTAGTTCGGCTTAAACGACATTATATTCCGATCTCTCGATGTTTTAAGTATTATCTTTCACACGGGGACAGAAAGCTTTGTAGGTGAAATCTGAATTTAAACCTAAACGTAAGCTCTATCGCTCGAGCGAAATGGAATGAATACGATACCGCTGTGTATCGCCTTCGACGAGCGGCGTATCCACCCGTGCTCTCGTACGACTGAAAATAAATTGTAAATAGTAAACGAGACCCGAGAATCTTCGGAAGACGTGAAAAAGAAAAAAACAGAGAAAGAAATGTGTAAATGGTACGTAAACGGTCTTGTCTTCGTTTTAGCCCGTTCCATTCGAAAGACCAAAATTACGCGCTGAAAGTGTNAGACGTGCCACCTATAAATTCAAGTACGCGTAATCTAACCATTTTGTTTCCTCGTTGAGCGGACTATCTCGAGACCGCGTACATAGATTTCAGAATGTCGTCAATTATCGCGCCGAACTGCGAATTCGTCGATTTTCCTCGTCCTCTTTCTCGTCGTTCTCGTCCCGTTAAGTTTCTTTCTCTCTCTCTCTCTCTCTCTCTCTCTCTCTCTCTGCTAAGGTCGATTCTACGCCGAAGGGGGACTCGTTGTCGGGCCGCGCGGAGCTTCCGGTCGAGTAACTTGCAGACCATAACGAGATTCCATCGAGACCGAGCGAGAGTCCCCTTCCGCGGAGATCCCGAAAATCTAGAAACCGATCGTATCGATAAAGGCGATGCCCCGTTTACGAGCTCGTTGAATCGAGCAACGCGTCGCGTACGGTGCGCGACGACGAGTATACTCGGTTAGAGGAGAGCATCGTGCTTGTTCCGTTGTGGTTGGCACGTCTGTCTTTTTTAACTAGGCGAAAGGAATACGGCAGGAGAGGACCGATCGATTTACCCCGCCTCTCGCCACCGTCGCTAGCCGCTGTCTTTCTCAACGAAAGAAACGCGAACGAAGTTGTAAAACGGATTTAAAACGGCAGTTCGAATCGCGATATCGGACCGGTTCCGAGCAATCGGCGAGGGTACGTCGATCGATCCTGCGTTTCTCGAGACTCCGATGTGGAATTTGCATTCGAATAAATTGACAACACCCCGTTTCGTGTGAATTATTATTTATGCTACGAAACCAAAAGCTGGGATGGAAATTCGATGTGCGAGCGAGAATAATTGAACGGAGGAACGAACCGTCGGCGACCGTGCGAGCACTCGACGCCGATTTTTCTTACACGATCCGCGTCGAGAGAGGATTTTTCGATCGATGCTCGAGCCGGAAGCAGGCTGGGCGTCGTAATTTCTAAGCTCGTTGGGACGGAAAGTATGCGAACAAACGCGCGAGAATCGTTTCGATATCGAATCGTCGTGATTTTTCGTTCGCTCGAGGCTCGCCGTCGGGTCGTTCGTCCCCGATTTCTAGACGTAGACGATAATTTTTGCTATGACCGATATATATATATATATATTTTGATTTGTCATTGACATTGCCAAGTATCTTGACGGCGAGAAATATTGTTTCCCGTCGGCGTGCGTTGCGTCGCGTCCACGAAATTAGTTCGGCTTAAACGACATTATATTCCGATCTCTCGATGTTTTAAGTATTATCTTTCACACGGGGACAGAAAGCTTTGTAGGTGAAATCTGAATTTAAACCTAAACGTAAGCTCTATCGCTCGAGCGAAATGGAATGAATACGATACCGCTGTGTATCGCCTTCGACGAGCGGCGTATCCACCCGTGCTCTCGTACGACTGAAAATAAATTGTAAATAGTAAACGAGACCCGAGAATCTTCGGAAGACGTGAAAAAGAAAAAAACAGAGAAAGAAATGTGTAAATGGTACGTAAACGGTCTTGTCTTCGTTTTAGCCCGTTCCATTCGAAAGACCAAAATTACGCGCTGAAAGTGTTGAACGAAACGAGAAACGACGAAAAAAGAAAGAAAAGATAGAATAAAACGGAACAAAGATATGAAAACGAAATAAAAAAGCGAAAGGATATTTAAATTTCGGTATATCGTCCGAGGGAAGCATATACCTCTCGACGCTTTGTAGTGGTTAATAGCGTAAACGAAGTAAATATTCCTCTAGTTCCTTGACGTTATCGCCGAGAAACCTCTTTACGTTTCGCGTTCGATCCTCTCCCTCTTATTGTTAGCTACTCGATGATAGACGAAAAAAAAGAAACTGTTGCGTAAGACACCGACGCGAACGCTAATAATTTGTATACTTCATCGTTCTTTTTCCCTTTTTTTGTACATACCAATAAAAAGAAAAGTCTCTTCGTACAATTATTAAGAAAACTGGCGCTGTAATGTAACACGTTCTCGTCGTCGCGCTGGATCGTAAAGGAATCTGGTTGCCGTGGAACGATCGGAGCGAAACGGAAGAAGAAGGAACGCGGCTTCGATGCTGCTCGGGTAAGTAAAGTTCTCCCTTTTATTCGTTCGGTAACAAGAATAGTATGCGATTTCTGTCGAGTACAAAAAACCAACGAGTCGTCGAAAAAGAACAAAAACGTTAAAAATCGTGCGAGTTTAATAAAAAAAAAATCGAGACGCGTACACTTCTCGCGGGGGGTGCAACGTTTCTATCCTACGTGTCTCCGTGTTGCCGATCGTGAGACGCGAGAACGTGCGAATCTTGGGTTCGAACGTGGACGACGATGCCTGTTCGAACCACCGTGCCGTCGTGGGAAATTGTACGATGCGCGCCGCGCAGGATATCCCCTCCGACGCTTTAAAGTATATCTCGCTCGGTATCGACGATAGAAAAATATGTCGGAGAAAACAGAATTGTGTAGGATCGGATGAGGTAAACCGTCTACGGGACGTTGTTCTCCGATGTTTTTCATCGTTATCGACGATACGAGCGAGATCGTGCCTGCTCAAAGTCGAGAATCGTAAGAAAGAGAAAAGAAATGGGCGTTAAAATAATCTGTCGTACATTCGGTTCGCGCGCTCCGTCTCCGGCGTTTCTTTCCCGGGGATCCCCACGAGTATATGATTCTTGGGCGTGCAGGTCTCCGGTATGAATTTCGAAAAGTACACCTTGTATCCGTACTGTTCCGCTACGATCTTCCTGTCGGTATCGACGATCGCCATACACTCGTAACCCTGCTTGGTCTTCGCGTTCTTTTCGTCGTGCGTTTGGTCCGCGGCATGACTGAGCACCATGTAATTGTCTCGATGCATGCCCTTTCTGAACGCGTCGCTCCTCGGGTAGGTCAAGCGATGGCAGTCGTGCAGGGAGCCGTAACAGCAGGGACAGCAGACGAAGCTCGCCCTCCTCCTGACGCACTGTTCTATAACCAGATCGGTTGCGACGCCGCAAGCGTGCAACGACAGACCTATATCGAATTCTCCCGTGAAATAGTCCAAATTGCATTGATAAAATCGCACGTTGGAAAGGTTCAGCTTCCGGACTCTCTCCTTGGCTCTGTTCAACGACTCCTCCTTATTCTCTAGCAGTATAACGGTGCAATGAGGCAGCAGATACGCCAAAAGGATGCCCAGATGACCGCTGCCCGAACAAAAGTCCACGATCGCGTCTCCTCGCTTGGCGAGTTTCACGACGGGCTTGCACATGTTCTCCAATTGTTCCTGTTTCCTCTTGAGCCTCGCGGGAGGCAAGGAGCCGCCTTCCGGCGTCGCGTCGAAAGGCACCGAGGACCAGTCCAGATTCAGTTCCGCGGCGAAGGGCTCCGAGTCCAGCCTGGTCTCTATGTTCAAGCTTCTGAACAACTCCAACGACTGCTCCACGTCGTCTTGCCTGGTGTAGATCCGGCTTTTCGGCTTGTACCTTTTCGGGTCGCTTTTGTACAAACTTTGGTTCGCTACTCGGGGAAGAGTGTAATCGATGTCGTTCGTAGCGCGGTCTTTCGCCACCAGCAGACGTTCCGTACAATCGACGATGGCCCGATCCTCCGTCATCTTTTCGTACCATCTGGCGGTCAGCGGAAGCAATCGGAGGGTCGAGTCGCCCGAAAATACGGTCAGCAGGATGTGCATGCAAACGAATATGATGATGTCGGCCAGGGTGACGTAGGAACCCTCGGCGTACGTGTGCTCGGGCAGACGACCGTCGCCGGCGAACTTCTTCGACATCGTGTACTTGTACAAGTTGTGCAGTCTGACCGGCTGCAGCATGTGACACTCGAACCTCGCCATGCTGGAGGGCAGTTGGTCGCGTATCGCGTCGTCGGTCTGCAAAAACTTCAAGGTCAGTATCAGGTCGACCTCGCAGAACTTTGTCCAGACGCTGGCCTCGGAACAGGCGGTCAGACACGAGTTCTTCAATCCCAACAGCTTTCGGCAGCGGTGCTCGGGATACGCCGCGATCGCGTCCTTGACTATTTGGCGCAGAATCGCGCAAAGACCGGCGATGCAACTCGTCTTGTTCAGTACGATGGTCGGTAGCTCGCAGGAACTCGCGTAGCTAGGAATCTTGTTCGTGTCCACGACTTTGTAATCGAAAGAGGACACGTCGGTGGTGTACGCTCGTTCCAAAGGTTTTCGTTCGCTGGGAACCAGTTTGATGCCTATCTTGGAGTCGCAGTACTTTACGGTGAACAAAGTCACTACGGTTTCTATGGGTGCCAAGCAGACTTCCGTCACCGAATAGATCTCTAAATAGACTTCGTCCATCTTTTCGTTTCGGCTGCCTACGAAACCATAAACGTATCGACGAGAAGATAAAAAAGAGATAATTCCACCGGCTTCGGCTGGTCGCGTTCTACACGCTGGCTCTCAGTTGCCTGGCCACTTTCCTTATTATCCTTTGCCTCAAAACGTTCTCTCTCCAATAAATGCTCAAGCAGGAACCGAAGGCTAGCACGAACACGAACGCCTCGAACTTCCAGAACGCTTTCTCTTCCAGCCAAGCTACCCTGTCGCAGCTGAGAATCGCAATCGTAAATATTTGTTACCGTAACGTATTCGCGAGAAAACAGAACGCGTCTCCTCACCTTCTGGTCACCGTTTCGCCGCTTTTACATTTTAAAACCTCCTTGTATCTCGCGTGAACGCACACGTCGATGCTTTTGCTCGCTAATTCAAAAGCGGAGCAAGGATGACATTCCGAGATTATTTCGTATTCGTCGCCGGACAGGCAGGCCGTATTGTTCTCGAAATTTTCTATATAAAGTTTGTTGGAATTGTCCGTCCAATGGCTTTCGACGATTAGCACTAAAACCGTTAACCTACAATGAAAACATAACATCGATATTTCACGAAATTCGTCGTGCCATCGTTCCGTGCAATACAGGTTATCAAATTGGACCGCTAAACCTACGAAACTAACCCTCCCAATAGTGTGATAGCGATCAGCATTCGTTTCTTTGTACACAGCTCGATCATTTCGATGCACACTATTTTGCAAGGTTACGCTTTCTCGTCAAGTTACGTGACCCATTAGAGAAATTAGCGGATCGATCGACGAGCGGACCGAAAGCAACGAGTCGCCGATCCCAGGCACTTTTCGCGTAAACGCTCGACGCACCGTTTTTACCAAATAAACCCTATATATTCGTGTTACGCGTATGCCATACGACCCGAATGCGTACTCTGTAAAAATAACACGTGTTTCACGAGCCACGATTGGATCACGAAACTGCGCGGCGAAACCGCACGAAACGCTGCGATCGCGTAGCGGCGCATGGACGAAACCGTCAGCCAAAATCGACTGTCGATAACTTGGCTAACAGTTTGAGCGTTTTGCCGCTACCCCGATCGGCGCTGTACGGACATCGAAGGGAACTTTGCTTTTTCTCCGCAAGGAGCGTCGCAGTCGTCCGTATCTGCCCGACGCAGGATCGTTTAAAAACATTATTTATGGTAAAATTAGGACGTACAAATATAAACCAAAGGCACGGAATTATTCGGGAGAATCCACCCTGTCTCTCGCGTCTGTCGTCTCGTCCCATCTCTACCTACCGTACACGGACTGTGTGTGTGTGTGTGTGTGTGTGTGTGTCCAACGATACGCATGCAAATATACTCGGCGGATGTATTTCTGTAAGCTCCGTGATATAGACGATCGCAGCCTAACGTAAAGTAACTCTTCGATTCGACGATGGGCAATACGAGCCGAGTGTAAACGATCCTACGGAATCGGTAAGAGTACGGACTAACGCGCGTTCGTGCACGCGTCGTGACCGATGAAACGCAAAGTTCACGGAAGGTTGCGTAGAAAAAATAGTTTATTACGTAAGGACTAATTAAAAATTGTACAAAGCGCAACAACGAGAGACGAACGTAACGTACAATGGTTAAAATCGATTACGGATAAACTACTCTATAATTATGTTGATCAGTTGCTTGAGTAAGCTCAATACTGGTGGTAGGACGATCGCTTCCGATTTGTCGTTGGCTGGCTTTTTCCGGGAAGACCGAGGGCGTACGGTTTTTGCGCGTTTGTTGACAGATAATAGATGCCTCGAGCTCTGAAAATATTTCAACACAATCGTATCGTTCTTTAAAGTAACATCTACGCGATCGAATCGGTTTATATTCGAAGATTCGTTAAAGGCGCGCGCGTCGTACGAGCAAACAATAACGTACGAGCAACGGGAACGATTAGGTCTTATGTACGAGGCTTACGTATGAGGGGCGTCTTCTCCCATCAGAATATATTCCTCCAGCCGCGGTTTGCACCATCCGATCAGGTAGGAGAAAAGATTTCCGCACGGAGCTGCCCAGAATCCTACTTTTGTCGTGATCGACTCTATGTAATAAGGCGTTACCTTTGTGTGATCGCATGACAAGGTCTCTGCGAAAAAGAAACATATACCATTGATTTCGTTTCGAATCGATCCCGCGACTCGTTCGGAACGGCGACGATCGGCTGCTCGATAAGCGCCGAAACTCCGTCCCGAAAGACGCGAGTCTCGGTTATCGAGCCGCCATCGTCGTCGCGCCATTCGACGAGTGACATTTTCTCCGAATTCCTCGAGCGTCGCTCGGCGTAACGCAATTGCAAGGGGAGGACGATCTTTCGAACGACCGGACGGACGGTGAGAGAACGATGCGGAAAGTGGTCGTGCTTACGAAGCAAAGAGGTCGTCGCGCATCCGGGTTGGCTCGAGCCTCCGTTCACGTAAAAATCCGCGTGTCCGGTCGGCCCCCACTGGCCCAAAATGCCAGCACCGGTGTGGATCACGTCGACGAAGTACGCGTCGGTTTCGTCCAAGTCCATCGACCGGTTGCCGTTCATGTAAAAAAATATAGTCGGATCCAGCCCTGTCCGGAACATAGGAGAAAGTTCGTTAAAACGTCGAGCCGGCGGACGTCGAGCGCGCGTCCGCGCGTCCGCGCGTCCGCGCGGATCGAAATTGCTTCGCGCGACGAAACGATTTCGAAGAGACACCGAGAGCACGATACCTGTGATTCTTCCAAGTTTGTCCTCGGGCAAGTAATTCGCGATGAGGCCGCCTATGTGCGCACCCACGCTGTATCCCAGCACGTGTATATTCTCGACGCTCGTGCCGCGAGGATGATCCCTCAAGTACCTTACCAATTGAGCAATACATCGAGCACAAAAATCTGGACCCCACTGTATCTGCGATAGACAGGGCTCGCGTACCAAGGTACCATAATCGACGATTATAATATTGTAATTGCCTCGCGCGAAATACGCTGAAATCGAAAGTTTCATACATCGAGGGATGAGAACGCCGGAGATAGGCTAGCTGAGATGGAATTACGATCCACGATTCGCGATCGCACCGATCCGTAGCGAATCGACGACGAGAACCGATTCGAACCGAACCATGGTCGTTACCGAAGCCGAAGCCGAAGCCGAAGCCGAAGCAACCGTTCGATCTGTCGGAAAGAGATCGATGTTTCTCGAGCTTTCGAACGATCGAAACGATTTCAACGTCGGACAAAGGTGCCACCGCCGCGTCGGCCAACGAGAATCCGGTTCTCTTTCCAGGGTGTACGAAAGCGGCGAGACGGTACAAGCTGTTACGCGCGATCGCTGGTAATACCTAACCCAGATCGATGATAAATCTAAAAACTATCGGTAATAATTCGGACGTTCGCGGTTAAATTTCGAGAGGATCGCGTCGAGAATTCTTCGAGCGTTTTTCTATTTCTACGGAGCAGGCGAGGTCGAACCAACGATTCGATCGGACATTCCCGGATGGTTCGACGAGAGAGCCGAGGGTGTAACAAATTTGTTCGCGGGTTCTGCGAACCCTAAGAAATTGTTCGTTGAAAGTTACCTTTCCGAAGATCTGGACTAGGTATTAGGTTTCTTCCTCCGCCGAAACCGTGAATTATGATTTTCGTAGGGTGCGACTTGTTAAACCTGGAATAATGAAGCGATTCGAATCTTCGAACGTCTAAGCGTAACGGTTTCTTTTGCGTGTCTCTGAAAAAAAAAGCGATTAAACACGAGTGTTACTGCATGGTAGAAAGTTGCGTCGACCGGTTCGTCGATCTCGCCGGAAAACCCGAAAGCGTCCGCGCCGACGAGTCGATGTAAAAATGAATTTCGATAACCGCCGATAAATAACGCGTCGACGACTCGGAGCTCCTTCGTCGAATTCGTTCGTGGATCTGGTCGATGTTGCGACTTTCCGACGACGAGAGTAGTATCGACGCGCGATTTCGATGACGCGATATCGGCTGCTTTCGGAGTTTCGTACTTTTGTTCGCTCCCGGCGCGTTCGGACGATCGGTGCACGGCGGTGGGAAGCGGCCGAGGCGTCGAAACCTACTTAAACGCTGAATCGCCGATTTTCGAGGGCTTCGAAATATTCGACGATGCCAACGGACGGGATTCGAATTTGGAAATTTTTTTCAATAAAAGCACGATTCGTTTCCACCGGTCGCTCGTCGGTCGTGTGCTTTCGATCGGCCGCGTTTCCAGGAGAAAGACGACGAAAGGAAACGCGAAACGAGCCACGCTCGAGTAAAAGTAACCGAGACGCGCCGATGCGTCGCGACTACAGCTGTAGCTACAGCGGAGAAAGGTAAACCTCGAAACGAGGCCGCTTTCGGTACAAGGCGAAACGATCGTGATCTTGAAATCGAGAGTCTCGCGTCGAGATTCTTCCCCCTCGGCGTTTCGCGCGCGCGCGCGCGCGCGTGTCGGTATCCGCGCGAAATGGAAATTTCTCCGAAAGTCGAAGCGGTAGCTAAAGCGGAAAGCTGCCGTCGATTCTTCGGTCCGTCGACGAACAAAAACGATCGATCGAGCGCTCGTCGCTGGAATCGTTCGAATTTTGAAAAGAGTGGCACGATGGTCGAACTCGTCGAAGCTGGATCGCGCCAAGACTTTCCACGGTAATTAACAGGAAACGGAGGAACGAATCGGCTGGGTAAAAATAAAGTCGTTCAAACACCTTCTGTTATCATAAAGTTTATTTCTCAATGACACCGCGCAAATCTTTCGGTGCATCGTAGGTACACACGTGTAACGAAGATCGGCTATCCGTTTCGGAGAATCTACTTGAATCGAATTTTCCCACGGTCGATCGTGCAAAGAACGTTCCGCGAACACAAATGTCCGGTAATACGATTCGAGCAGCTTGGAACGGTAAACTATAATGCATCGTGAACTTACCTCGTGTATAAATAATATTCGATTCGAGGGTGCGGACACTCGAAGGGCGGCTGCGCGCAGGACGAGCTGTTGAACAGGTCCTTGAACGTTTTGGTGTCAGCGCTTGCACCGTCTGCGAAGCAACGAGATTCTTTCAGCATCGCTTCGACGCTCGATCTCGTTCGAGATCGTAGTTTCGCGATCGATCCGGCGAATCGTTGCGAGAAAGTAGAAAAATAGGCGAAGGTCGTTCGTCCGGGTCTTGGACGCGCCGGCAACGATCCGATCGAGATACAACCTCGACGTTCGACTTTTTGTTCGTCTTTTTTCGACGATCGACGAACGCGCGTACGTTGCTCGCAGATCGGAGTTCGATCGTTGCACCGCTTCGGCGAACGCCGCGTCGCGAGATCGAAAGCACTTTTTCAAAAGCAAAGGGGTACGTACGCTTCGGCTTTCGTTCGCGAGAAAGTAGCGAAAATTCTTTCGGTCGCTTCGAGAGTTTTGCTCGAAGTCGAATCGGTTTTCAAAATTGAATCGACTCGCGGCGTTGTCGGCTCCGAACGGGTAATCGGAAGAAATCGGATATTTCGAGCCCGAGCGTCGAGCTACGAAGGAATTTGGTCCGCTACCTTATCTCGTTCTTTCGAAAGGACGGCTCGCGCGCGTTTACCCTTAGCAGGGCATTCCAGGGCACGCGGCGACGCGGTTGGAGTGGAAGCGATTCCGTAAACGTTTCGCGTCGGCGCAACGAACGATCGCCCGACGCACGGCGTTTTCTACGACGGGATCTCGGGGCGGCGCAACGTCCGCGCGGGTGTAAGAATTCGAAGAGGATCGCGGAGTCGGGAAACGGAGATCCGGCGAAGCGTTCGCCGACGACCGACCGGTCGCGCGATTACTTACGGTGTCGGAGCAGCGTTTGCAGCGAAGCCAGGAGAACGAGGAGCAGGTATCTCACGACACTGACCGCCATCTCCCGCACTCCCGTGGTTCGTGATATAACATCCAGCCACGCGGTGGTGAAAAATCGGTCGAACTGGCGCGTTCCCGGCGCGGCGCGGCGGGCCGGTAGCTGTTCCGTTCCGTTCTGTTCTGTTCTGTTCCGTTCTCGCGGCCGATCGCGGAACGCGAAGTCACCGGGGAGGATGCGGACGAGCCACGCGCGACGATACGCGACGGGGGAACTTTTAGAAAGTAAACTCGGACGGCGAACGAACTCTGGCCGCGGCCGACGCGAGACGACCGTTCCTCCGGTTTTACGGATCGCGTGCGCGCGTATGCACGAATCGCGACGAGGACGGACAACGAGGCGCGTCGCGCGGCATCGCGGAACGATGGGTGGAATTAACGCGCGCGCGCGGTCGTAACTCGCGACCGCCCGAGCACGGCTCGGCTGCGACGCGGCGCGGTCGCGGTCGCGGTCGCGGGTCGCATCCCTGTCCCGGTGCGCCGAGGCGCGGCCCGGCCCGCCCCGGCCCGGCCCGGTCGTTTCCGGGAAAGCGTCGCGCGCGATTACGTTGCTCGCGGCGCTTAATTGTCTCCGCGTCGGCTCTCGCATCGGTGGGACGGGCACGGGCCCGCGGATCGAACGAAACCCGAACGAGAAAGTCCCGGCTCGCTGATGCCAGCCGGAACAGGATTCGAGAGTTTAATCGCAGCCTGTCGATGGGAAACGGTGACGAAACGAGACGCGTCGTGTTATTATCGCTCTACCGGATCCCCGTTTCGATTCCACGATCGCCTCCGCGTGCTTCGACGGCCGTTCCGATAAACCGTGTCGCGTGCGAGGACGGTTTTTACGGCGTCCCCCTTCGGGTCGAACCTGCTGCGCGACGACCGCGAGAAACGACGTCGATTCGATTTAGATCGTTCGAACGAAAACGAAACGATAGGGAGAAAGCGTCGATCGAGCGAATGTTCGCGCGCAGCTGCGTCGTTGCGCGTTTATTTTCGAATCGATCGAAACGACGAGCGATCGCGCGTCGTTCTTCGAAATTATACTTTGCCGGGAAAACGTCGCGGAGCGCGATTCCGAATCCGAATCCGAATCCGAATCCGAATCCGATCGAGGGATACGAGGAGGGCGAGACGAGACGGCGATCGTTCCATGCGAATGATATCGGTCGAGCCCGGCGAGGCATCGGCGGTGTTCGCGTATCGCCGTAACGTCCATGATTACCGATGAAAAACTACTTAACCGTAACTAGCTCGAACACGGCCGAGCGCGGTCCGCGTGTTTCACCCTGCGACCGATCGATTTACGATAACCGGCGACTACCTCGACGCGCTACCCCCTGAAAGAAACATGTGAGTTCTCGAAAAGATCGGCTTACAATTTATTGTCAATAATCAGTATTTGTCATTTTTAATTACACAATACACTCAAAATTACAATATACATACATATTTTACATAATTATTTTTATAATAATTATTAACAAACCAGACCTTTTACCGGCGTGTAACAATGATTTCTTTCCACTCTAAGTTGCGGCTACATATTTAATGTATATAGAGCAGGCCTGCTATTATTGAACAGTCAAAATAGAGATTCTTTTAAATGCCCACCTCGGGAATACATTAATTATTTGTGAGTTGGATTCAGCACGGAGATCGTTACGAAAATACAATCGTGAGTCGAAAGAGGGGGGGGGGGGGAAATCAAACGGACGACGGATAAACGCGAAATGCGCGTCGCGCAGCGATCGAAATTTCTTTTCGTTCGAGACTTCGATCTCGAATCGCGACGTGCAATTTTTTCTTTCCTCTTTCCTCTTTCCTCTTTCCTTTTTCCGCGAAAACGATGCGCGCGCGACGATCGAATTCCACGTTCTCGTCCGACGAAAGATCGTCGAACGGACATCGGATATCGGTCGTCGACGCGTCGCTCCGATCGCGAATAGAATATTCTCCGCGTCGCGAGCTAGAAATTCGCCTCGAACAAGGTTCTTGGACGCGGCGGCGCGAATAGACCGCGGATCTTTGGGAAAATCGATTGCGAGAAATAATAGGGGAACCGAACGTGCAACCTCGTACAACGATACCGACAAAATTCTTCCAACGTCGCGTCACAGTTTCGCGTTTCGTTCATTTATTTCTGCGATGGGTGCATCGAATCCGCGGCCTACGCGCGCGCGAACGTTGCGCGAATCAATTTTTTGTCGCGTTGTTCTCGCTGCGCGAACAACAGAGTCGTCCGATAAAGGGAAGAATCGTGAAACGCGACGCGACAGAGCGCGGAGAATTCCCGGTGCAGAGACGCGAATCGTACGATCGATCGATCGGTCCGTCCTCGATGGACATTTCGACGGTAACCATAAGATCGTGTACTTTGATGCACAGCACGGAAGAGCAGATTCTTTTTCGACCGACGCGTAATTCTAGATATCGAATATTCTTAGCGAATACCTTATCGTCCGTTGAACGATGAAACCGATCAACGATGACGCATCGTCGGAAGATATAGATAGGCTGGGACAGGTCGAATTTTCGTACGCGTACGCGCGCGTACAACTATACGTATACACGTGTGCGTATACACGCCGGTGTGCGCGGACGCTCGCGCCGAATACGCGCGCGTCCGCGAAGATCGCGAAGAAACGTAAACGATCCGCGCGAAAACTTAACCTTTCGCGTAAGCCGGAAAAATCTCCGCGATAACGAATCTTTCGAGCGACCGTACCTCGAGATCGTTGACCCCGATTACGATCGACTTCGAGCAAACTCCGACTTCCGACTTGAACGATAACGCGAACGTATATTTTATTCGATAATACAAAACGACAACAGCTGTATCGATCGAGTACACGGCGATACCAAACAACGACTAGACTTTTTAACGAAATTTAAACTCTTCTTTTTTCCTCGTCGATTACTGGATACCATCGATCAGAAATGTCGTCGAAGCGAACTAATTTACACGGGTCCGCTGCAACGTTGAACAGAGTTAAAGAGTTTTTCTCGAACGATAAATAAATCCACGCGACGGAAAACGGTTTCACCGGCCGCGGCCGATCGCGTACAAACGCGCGCGTATCGTTGTCGCGCGGGTGTACGCTCCGAAAGATTGGCGCGCGGACGCGCGATGATGCGAACGATTTGCTCTTTCCTTATCCAGATTATACGCAACGTTTAGATATTTTTAACGGAAAACGCTCGACTTTCCTCGCAGAAAGATCGCGCTTGGACGAGCAAGTAACGCGTCGCTGTACTCTCGTTACCGATAATTAGTTTAAACGTTTTCTAATTGGAAACGCGTCGTTCGAGGATCGAAAGCTCGATGAAAATGTAAACTTGGGAAGAAACTCGAATTTCGAATATTGTCAAGGTTGCCGTCGACGGCGCAACGAGATCTCCGAATACACCGAGAGCACGAGAGTACCGCGACGGAAACGGATTTCGTACAATGTATATTTTTTAAACGATGCTAAATCATCGTCCGCGCAACGCCCTACCGCTTTTATCGTCTATTCTAATAATTGATATCGTTTCGCACGGCAACGCGTTGCCGAATCGACGCGAACTCGTCGAAATGTTGCGCGCGTGCCTAGACAAATTGTACGAACAACGACCGTTCGCCGTTACGCGAAACACGCGTTCTGGAAGCTCCGAGAAAGCTACCGCCGAGTTGTTAAAAAACTTTATCCGTGATTTATCGCGCGAATTGTAGATGCAACCGATTCGAACGCGAGCAACAGGAGACACCGTAAAATCCCGAACCGAACGGTTCGATGTCGAAGACGAATCGAAGAATCTTAACATCGTCCGATCGACGATTCGAAGCGTTCTCGCGTATTCGAACGCGTACTCGCGTTCAAGTATAATTCGCGCATCTTCGCCTATCTCGGCGAGCTTCCGTCGACGGTGAAAAAATTCGCAACGATTGGTCGTTCTTCGTACCGATTTCATATTCTCGTTCTCCGACGAGCGGCGGGAATAATTCTCCCCGTTTCTACGAGTACGCGATGCATCGTACGATACGTACGTACGCGCCAAACTTTCTTAGAGTTCACCGATTGCGTACGTACGTATGTATATATGTATGTATGTAGGTACACGGCCGAGGATCGCAACGTAACGTAACGTAACGTAACGTAACGTAACGTAACGTAACGTAACGCGACGCAACGAGCTCGTCGCTTTCCATTGAAAAATACGTTCTTTATATATTCGCGCGATATCGGAGATCGAATCCGCGGTTCTACAACGTCGAATATGTATAATTTTACGACGGCTTACAAAGTCGAGTATTCAACGTTCCCCGACTGTTGCGAAATAAGACGAACCAACACGGTAAAATACGCGAAATTCGTAAAGTTTCGAAAAGTTTCAAAATACTTTCATCTTACTTTCTTTGGTTTTTAAAGCCATCGCGGCGGCCAATGGAGCGTTTCGTTATCGTATCGCGTATCTGTTACTCGACGCGCAACGACAAATGTTTCCAGCGAAACGATCGCAAACGAAACGAAACGGAACAACGATAACGATACGCTTTGTTCGAAAACCGAAAGACGAGCCTCTGGCCGCGAGCCGGCTAATTCGGCTAAATCGGCTGAATCGGCCGAATGCGTGGCGAGTCGCGCGAGGGACGTCGATCGCTTTCCAGGTAGAGGCTCGTCTTTCGGTTTACGAACTGTACAAATCTAGCAACGAAAAACAATGTTACGTCGTACGATGTAACGTACACTTCGAATATCGTAAACTCGAGCTTCGGGCGTGACCAACGGTAACGCACCGCGTTCGGTAAATACGAGTATCGTAGTCTTTACAAAAGTTTCGAAACATTTTCCGGATAAACGATTCGCGTAAACGCTCGCTTTCCATCGACGATTCTTTCAACTCGAATCGATCAACTTATCTCGAATCGGTTATCGTTCGTGATCGTACAACCGTCGTTTCCTCCGTCGTCGTCCCGTTTACCTCGATAGAAGCCCTCGTGCCACTTTCGATCGACGTACGCGGGCAAAATCGTTTGAAAATGTACAGTCGCGGATCGATGCACACTCTCGATTTCTGCGTTAGGCTGCCGCCTCGTTCGCGTTCCCCGGCGATCCTCGTTGTTCGTAATAAATAAACGAATTCGTATTTTTTTTTTTTTTTTTTTTTTTCGTAATCCCGAAACTGTGGTTGGTACGGAACGCGCGATCGCGAATGGAATTTAGGCGACGCGAGCGAACGGCAGCCCGAAGCGCGCCGCGGAAATCCGTATTTAAATTCGATTACAAGCGTACGTAATGCTAATCGTTTCTCAAAACGATACGGGGCGAACCGAAGAGAGCGAGCGTCGTTGCACGCTCGTCGTTGTCGTCGGCGCGTCTCGAATTTACGAAAGCTCGTTCGGATTCGGCGGCGCGTCGCGTTCGGCGCACCCCGTATCTCGTTNTTTTTTTTTTTTTTTTTTTTTTTTTTCGTAATCCCGAAACTGTGGTTGGTACGGAACGCGCGATCGCGAATGGAATTTAGGCGACGCGAGCGAACGGCAGCCCGAAGCGCGCCGCGGAAATCCGTATTTAAATTCGATTACAAGCGTACGTAATGCTAATCGTTTCTCAAAACGATACGGGGCGAACCGAAGAGAGCGAGCGTCGTTGCACGCTCGTCGTTGTCGTCGGCGCGTCTCGAATTTACGAAAGCTCGTTCGGATTCGGCGGCGCGTCGCGTTCGGCGCACCCCGTATCTCGTTCGTTATTGTCGACAAGTTTTCTCGGAGCTATACAGTATCCATAGAAATATATCAGTATTATTGTTCGAACAGCATTGGAACTTATCCTAAGTACTTTCTTGTAGCGGTTACGATAAATTGATGTCTCGAGCTTCGATCCCACCGTTTCGATTTCAGAATGGATAACGTGGAAAAAGTTAGGCCAGTCACTACTTCGATCGATTGCGAATAGAACGATAGAACGCGATTTCGAAAGAAAATGTTGCGTTTCGATCCGTTTTCGGCAGAGCAGAGTCATCGGTATCGCCAGCGATATCGTCGCGATCGCAACTCCCGTATCCGGTTCTTCGCTTCGGTCCCTCTCCGCGTCGGTCGACCGGGAACGTTTTTCCTCGAAAAAGTTAAACACCGTATCAAAAAATACTGCCTATTCGACGAACGTTTCGCGCGAGACGACGTCGACTCCGCTCCACCCCGAATAGAAAAAATACGCGAACCGTAAAAAAGTACAATCCGAATCGTACGCGTCGGCGTCGACGAGTATATTCGTGGAACGTTATCGTCTTCTCTCGTTGCGAACGGTCGCAACTTATTCGGATTGGTAGCAGAAGAAACGCATTTATATATAAACGAAGCGTCGCTCGACGCGAACCGCCTTCGGTCGCGGTTTTTCTTCGGAAAATTTGTACGGGGTCGCGCGAGACCCCGAGGTATCGTCGAGCACGTTCCGATCGTTTCTCGGTTTTCTGGAAAACCGAACAGTCTTTCGGCGAACTCCGATGTTCCGCTACAGGCGATTCCGTTCGAAACCGATTTCGAATTAGCGTAGCTTTCGTTTCGAACCGGACACGGCACTTTCTTCTCCGATAACGCGACGGCGAATCGTTTCGCTCGATATTCGAACGACGAATCCGTCGGTGTCCACGTCCACGTCCACGTCCACGTCCACGTCCACGTCCACGTCCACCGTCGTCCGACAGGCAGACGTCGCGTGTGGCGAACGCGTGTTATTAGAGTTTCCGGCTTTTCACCGAACGAAAGCAACGCGGACCGAACGCGGCGACGCGAAACCGCGGAAATTATTTTTCAAGCGAGCTCGGTCGTCGTTCGTTTCGCCGATAAGGTCGCTCCGGTTATCGTCGGCCGAGCGATCGCGATTCGATCGTCGTCGCGAAAATAAAGTCTACGTTCGTAGTCTACGCGGTTCGTAGAAAACTACGTACGTTCGAACGAGGAACCGCGCTCGGCGCACCTCTTCTCGCGAGCGTCTTCTCGCGAGCGTCTTCTCGCGAGCGTCTTCGCGCGAGATCTCGAAAGTAGAGAAAAAATCGTAGAGAAAATATCGTTTCGCGTCGTTCGAATATAAAACTTTTGCAAGGTTAAACGGTCCCGAAGAAACGCGCGCGTACGACTCGTTCGAAAGAGTGTTTAACGGCGCTTCGATCGCTCTTATCCGCGCCTCTCGCTTTCACCGTGCCCGGTATATTTTCGCGACACCGTCGATACCGCGCGGTTTCACCGAAAAAGGAACAAAGAGTCGACGCGGTTCCCTCGAACCAACGTCGACGATAAACAGCCTACGAAACGCTGCTAGATTTTGGTGCGTCATTGTAACACGTGCATGAGATTGTAAACATTATTGTCGGCACCTCGAATTTGGTAATTCTAGAAAAACTTCAACATACTTTCGGCGCTCCCCTGACTCTTTATCCCGTTCCCATCGTCCATTACGTTTTAGATTACTTTCGTTCGTCGATCGTCGTCGTACGCTGTACGCGATGCCCTCGACGAATACGTACGTATATGTATATGTATATATCTATATGTATATGTATATGTATATGTATGTATATATGTATGCGCATACGCAACGATACGAATTGAGAAAGGTTAATTTCGTACGAAGAATCGCGCAAAGCGCGACATATTCGCATCGTTCGAATTTCTAAACTTTCAACGGGTTGCTAGAATTTATTGTCTCCGACACAGGATAACGTCCGCCGCGTTCGAAACGCGGCAGTTGTTCGATCGCCGGTCGCGTCTACGAAAAACGGCCCGGCGTCGCCGTTTCGCGAAGTAACCTTTCCAATTGTACCGAGCACGAGCGTCGCGTTCCACCGGGTATACGCGCGCGTATATCTTTTCGTAATCGTCGACGAGTCGCATTATTCTATATTATTTACACGAAGAACATCGAGATTCGTATGGTCGTGGAATCGTTTTCGCGTTTCTACCAAAAGCTCTTCGCGTGCTTGTCAGAAAGTACTACGAAAACCCGACGACGCCCGTGGAACTTGGAACGAAAAGATCGCGCGATTCGTTTATTCGAACGATCGATCGAATAAACGTCGATCGGTCTCGCGTGCTAGAAACTTTGCGGCGAACTTTGCTCGATCGATGAAATACTTTTTTCTTTTTTTACGATGGAGCAGGTGTACGCGCGCGATCGCGCGCGAGCGGAGGTCGTCGATCGCGAGGATCTGGAACGACGAAGGAATACGATTTCGCGAGCGAGCTACTACGATGATAACCCGGACGCGATGCGTCTAATTTTCGCGCGTTTCGTATTACGAATCTAAGATCCTTAGAAATGTATAGGGTAAATTGACCAACGTCGCGAATTTCTGGGCAACGAAAAATGGACTGCTCGATCGGTATCGATGCGCAGCGCCCGCGCATGTTCTGTACGCAACGTTACGATCGATACCAAATGTACGCGTGTACGGTATACGGTGCGCCGTCGATCGGTCGATCGGTCGATCGGTCGATCGTTCCCGCTCCCTCCGTTGTCGCCTCGTCGAAGTTGCGACGATTCGAGTCGGTTGGAATTTTCCCGGGCCTTTCCTTTTCCAACGATAAATCGGTAACAACGGTGTTCGTTGCGTCGCGCGTAGCAAATCGGAGCGTTTCCCTCGCTACCCGAAGTCGAATCCAAACCTCGTAGGAAAATATCGCGTCTCGAACGGTAAGCTTCGGGCGGACCGAACTCCCTCGTTTTCAGTTCTTCGAGTCGCGCGAAGAAACGTTTCCGAGTACTTTCGCGAAAAGTACTCGCTTCTGTAAACAGCGCGATACGAATTTACGCGAACGAAATCCCCTCGCGCGAACGCTTTCTTCGATTCGGTCGATTGGAAAAAGCTTTTTCGAATTGTCCGAGCGTCTCGAATAACTTTCGCGGCACGGACGATCGATCGATCGACGTTTCGCCGTACACCTTTTTTTTATCGCGTATACCGTCGAAACGTGTGCGGTATATACATTTATATCGTATCTTGTATTACGATTCGCCCGCGAAACGATGCAACGGATCGAACGTCCCATCGTTCCGATCCAATATATTTTATATGTATATTATATGTATATGTATATATATATATCATCTTGTAGTTTTTGACAACGTTCGTATAGAGTAACGAAATACGTATACGTCTGTACATGTATGCGTGTCTGTGTGTATGCGTACGTGTGTCGATACATGTATAATTATACGAAGTACAAACATCTAGGACAATGTATATAACGCGACTCGTGTTTTCCTAATTTTTCGAACTCGCGTTCGTACTTTCACGAATATACTTTCATCGGATCGCGTACGGTAGAACTCGATGTATCCGAACCGTAGCACCCTTGTATCACCCGTGCCCCTAACAGTACTAGGATCTCGAACGAATAAAATCGTTCGACGCGCCCCACCGGCACCTGGAAATCCCACAGTCGACGCGAACGTTCTTTCTCTCGCTGGATTTCCTTCCCCTGGTCGAACCGTGTTCAGCCTTTTCGGACGCGCAACGTTCCGGTCGACTTCGTTCGTCGACGAATTTTCGCGAGTTTTTCGAAAGCCGAGCGCCAAAGGAAAGAAACGAGTAAAACGTGCTTCTTCTCCTTCTTGTTCGATTCCCGATCGTCCGTTCGCCGGAAAAGATGTAGGTTAATTTCGAGACGACGAGATTAATTAATTTTGAATCGCGAGAAACAAAACCGACTTCTTTCTCGAATAATTGTCGCGTGCCGACTTCGAGACGACGGAGTACGCGCGAGAGCGAAAAGATGCGGACCGAAGAGGTTGAACGGAGGTATCGTTCGGGTCTTGTTCGTTCCCCGGTGCGCGAGGCGAGAATTCGCTCGAAGAAATCAGGTCCCAACAAATAGAGCTCTACGGTACTTTACGTCTTATCGTCCTAATACTTTCATCGTGTTTATCACTTTCTTACAAGTAGGCATCTTTATACATTTCGAAATCCCGTTGGGTCGGTCGCGAAGGTTCGCGACCGCGTCGAGATCCGAAAGGCTTGGATAACAACCTTCGTCCAATCGTATCGTAAGATAGGATTCGTCCCCGGACGCGCGCCGGAAACGTGCCAACGCGTTTTCCTCTCTGGTCTGAATAATCCTCGGAACAGCGTTCGCTTCTTCTCGGTCGACGGATCAATTATCGGAGCCGCGCCATTCTCGTCGTTAAAATATCGACGCGTCGATAATTAATTCGTTCTAGATTCGTGGCGCGTTTCGTTTCGTCGTCGAACAAACCGGTTGTACTATTTCAAAATACGCGTCCGAGGTGCAACGGTCGTCGTCGCTGCCGCCGCCACCGCCGATCGACGATCGGCCGTAAATTTAATTTCCTCGATATCGGTTTTCTTTTATTGCTATGTTTCTAAGGTTTTATATCGTTGAGGTCTGCTATCGGCGTAATCGCAAATAAGAACGATAGAAAATATAATACCTAAAAGTCTCAGCTGATCGTGCTGGACCGATCTCGTTCGTCGGTTCCCCAAACCTTCCGGTTATTGTCTTCGAAGAGTTATTGTCTGCGAAGGTTTGGCCGCGTATTATTATTGTCTGCGCACGCTTCTCTTTCTCTCGACAGCTTCCTCTCCGCGAAAGAGAAACGTTCTTCGGTCTCCGGTGGAACGGATAATATTCCCGTCGCGCGAATATTTTGTTCGTCGAATCGAAAATCGACCGATTTTCCCGTTCGTACGAACGCGAAACTTGAATTCGTAGAAAATAACGAATCGTTCTCCCGTATCCCCTCCGCTTCCCGAATTGTCGCGGAAAGCTTCGTTCGAATTGCTCCGACCCGATTCGGTCGTATCGCGCGCTTCGAGAGGAGGAGCCGTTTCGCGCGAGCTCGCGCGTTCTCGCGCGTCGTCGGTGCGACAGCACCATACCCTGCACTCTTAGGTATCGCGATAAAAAAAGCTTCCGCGCGTGGTTCGTAGCCACGTACCTCGGAATGCGAAGCCTGCGTTTGCTCAACGATACGGCTGAAATAACTCTAGAACCAATGAGAAACTCGCGTCCGATTCTGTTTCGCGCGCTTCCGGTACTTCCTCGGCTCCGTCGACTTTGAAAATGCCGCTCCTCGATCGAGCGAAGGAAACGAAAACACGTTTCCCTCTAAAATCGGAACGACCAAGTCCGCGTCTACGATTCCTGCGATTCCTGCGATTCCTGCGATTCCTGCGATTCGCTGCTGCCCGTTCGTTGAACTCCTCGAGTTCGACTGCTCTGATATGGTTTGTGCGCGAGTCCGTAGAAAATACGGATCGATCGGTCGGATTCCCCCCGAATCGCGAACGGATTCTTCCAGAACCGGTAATAGAGAGAGAGAGAGAGAGAGCCGGCGGGACAAAGTACCGGAAGCGGCCGAGACGATGATCGGCGCGAGCGATCGACCAAACCAAAGAATCCATCGCGCGCAATTGACGGTTTCCTTCTCGAATCGATCGGATATTGACAATGTTTAATTCCACTGTTGATTCTGCGTCACATCGTAGGCGTAGTCGTCCGCGGCAGGCGGCTGTACCAGGGATGCGTTCACGTCGGTGGCGAATGGGTTCGTCGAATGGAACGGGTTGTTGCTGTTGGTTTCCGTCGACCCGTAACCGATTATCGGCGGTTTCTCCTGCTGACCGACGTCCGACGTCGGCTGCTCGTACGCGTTCCAATCGTCGGCTGCGTTCTCGCCCGACGGCTGTCTCTGCAACACACGATCGATCCCATCAGAATTTTTGCCAGCCGTCGCGCGATCTTCGAGGATACCTCGACTTCGAAAGTTCTTCCCCCTTTTCTCCGTCGCGTTCGGCTCTCGAGCCGAAACGATAGCGGACTCGTTGTACCGATCGGTGCGACCGATATAAACGATTTAGGTAGAAACGGCAGGTATAAACGATTTATACGTATAAAAAAACGTAAACGCGAAACGAAGACGCGCGCGAGAAAGAAAAATTGTCCGATTCTATCGGGGAGACGATCGAGGAGGAAAGGATACCGATCGACGTAGCTGCGGAAGAAATCGTAGGGCGAGAAATCGACGAAGGAGGCGGACCAAAGAATACGCACGATGAACTCGGACTGCATGGTCTTCGGCGGCGGTGGAACCGGCGGCTTCGTTTGCCCGAATTCGTCCATGGCGTTCCAGTTCTTCTGTTCGTCCGACACTGGATCGGCCCATGGCTGCAATTCGCCGGAACAGAAGATCCCGTAAAATGTCACGCCGAAGATGTGAACGCACGCCGCCATGATGAAAACGTTCTTCCAACCCTGAGGATCCTGCACGAACGATAACTCCGATCGGACAAAGTTCGTTCGGTCGAAGCGTGTACACACGCGAACTCCGAACGCGATTAAAAGGAATTCGCGAGACGCGCGCGTACCTTCTTCTCCGTGATGTTGTCCACGAAGAAAGGTACCAGAAGTCCGGCTATCGTACCGATTCCATTCGACATCCCCATCAGAATGCTAGCGTATCTGGGCGCGATGTCCAGATGGTTGACGTTGAAACCGGATATGGCGAAGCCGCTGCAGGCGACGCCGACCGCGAGAGCGACGATCGCGGCCGTGCCATTTTTGTGGACCGTCGCGTTGGCCATCACCAGGAAACAGAGCGCCTCCATGCCGAAACCACCGCAATTGAAGAGCTTCCGCACGTTGGTGGTCGACAGTATCCCTTGTTTGCGAAGATGATCGGCCAGCAAACCTCCGCACGGCACCACCGTTGTCATCAACAAGTGCGGAAGTGCTCCGACCACGCCGGTCTACGAAACGGCGAGATACGGAAGCGCGCGTAGAAAGGATCGAATCGCGCGCGCGGCGAGCGACGCTACGAGCGTGGACACGCGACTCACCTCGACCAGTTCCATTCCGAACGATTCCTGCATAAATCGAGATTGAAACAGCACCAGAAGATAAAAGTTCCAAGACCTGCAAAAGTTCGCCACGATGATAGCGTAGACCGGCATGGACGTTAAGAATTTCCGCCACGGCGTCGTGGAGAACGTTGGGATCGGCTGTTGCGATTGTCCTTGTCCAAGGGAGTCTTCGATGTAGCGAAGCTCGCGCGTCGAGATGGAAGGGTGTTGCGACGGCTTCTCGAAGGCGAGCCACAGCCAAAACACGTACCAGATCAGCCCCACCACGCCTGAAACATTTGCCGACTCGCGAGCTGGTTCGCGCGCGAAATAAACGTTGCAACGAACAACGCGATCGAACACGGGAACCGATTTCGAACCAAAGTCTCGATCTTCGTTGTTCCGCTACGGGAGATCTGTTATCGTCGCGACGATATCGTGTCTCCGCGCGATTTCGAACGATGACAATTTTAGAACGTCTTACCGTAGAAATAAAACGGCGCCGTCCATCCGAACCACTGGCACAGGAAGCCCGAAAGCGGCATTCCTATAACCAGCGCAGCATACGAACCGCAAAATGCTAACGTCGCCAATCGCGATCTCTCCAACGGTGGCGCCCAATATTTCCAAATACCGTGGCACGCCGGGTACGTCACACCCTGATCGATCAGAGAACCATTCGGCTCGTTAATCGGGCGAGCGTTGGTTCACGCGAGCGCCAACGTTCGTCGAATGCGTCGAATAAAAATCAGATTATATCACCGTTGTTCACCGTTCGCACTCGGAGCCGTTTCAACTCTAAATCGAAAGTGTTGTCGTATCACGTTTTCGATCGCCGCTCGAACAATGTTCTTACGATCGGTGCGAAAGGTTTCGAGTGCAAAGGGTACGTGGGAGAGAACGGTTGAAAAACATATTTGGGATCTCACCTCCGCCAATCCTTTCAGAATTTGCACGATTATGTCGACTATGGGGTCTACTTTTAACGCGCCAGGCACCAATAAATTGAGAAAAGACGATACGGCGATCGCGAGGCCGAATATTTTGTTGGCAGGGTAGAGCGAAGCGAGAAACCCTCCTGGCACCTGGGTCACGAGGTAGCCCCAGAAAAACGACGAGTCCAGGGTACTCTCGGTGGCGATCGTCCAATTGAACATGAGAGTGTGGTTGTCGCCTACGGTACTGTTCTTCATCACCGTTTTCGCCATGGTCATGTTACACCTCATGCCGAACGATATTACAAATCCTGGAACAGAGACGTCGATCTCTGTACCGAACTGCTGCCGAACGCGATTTTACAAATTCGTAACGCGTTTTTCTTCGCGCGATAACACGCTGCTGCACGTTTTAGACACGCGTCGTTCGGGTTATCGAAATCGACCTTTCGTTTCGTAAGAAAATTCTGTTCGATCGCTCGTACTCCCNCCGTCGCGTTCGGCTCTCGAGCCGAAACGATAGCGGACTCGTTGTACCGATCGGTGCGACCGATATAAACGATTTAGGTAGAAACGGCAGGTATAAACGATTTATACGTATAAAAAAACGTAAACGCGAAACGAAGACGCGCGCGAGAAAGAAAAATTGTCCGATTCTATCGGGGAGACGATCGAGGAGGAAAGGATACCGATCGACGTAGCTGCGGAAGAAATCGTAGGGCGAGAAATCGACGAAGGAGGCGGACCAAAGAATACGCACGATGAACTCGGACTGCATGGTCTTCGGCGGCGGTGGAACCGGCGGCTTCGTTTGCCCGAATTCGTCCATGGCGTTCCAGTTCTTCTGTTCGTCCGACACTGGATCGGCCCATGGCTGCAATTCGCCGGAACAGAAGATCCCGTAAAATGTCACGCCGAAGATGTGAACGCACGCCGCCATGATGAAAACGTTCTTCCAACCCTGAGGATCCTGCACGAACGATAACTCCGATCGGACAAAGTTCGTTCGGTCGAAGCGTGTACACACGCGAACTCCGAACGCGATTAAAAGGAATTCGCGAGACGCGCGCGTACCTTCTTCTCCGTGATGTTGTCCACGAAGAAAGGTACCAGAAGTCCGGCTATCGTACCGATTCCATTCGACATCCCCATCAGAATGCTAGCGTATCTGGGCGCGATGTCCAGATGGTTGACGTTGAAACCGGATATGGCGAAGCCGCTGCAGGCGACGCCGACCGCGAGAGCGACGATCGCGGCCGTGCCATTTTTGTGGACCGTCGCGTTGGCCATCACCAGGAAACAGAGCGCCTCCATGCCGAAACCACCGCAATTGAAGAGCTTCCGCACGTTGGTGGTCGACAGTATCCCTTGTTTGCGAAGATGATCGGCCAGCAAACCTCCGCACGGCACCACCGTTGTCATCAACAAGTGCGGAAGTGCTCCGACCACGCCGGTCTACGAAACGGCGAGATACGGAAGCGCGCGTAGAAAGGATCGAATCGCGCGCGCGGCGAGCGACGCTACGAGCGTGGACACGCGACTCACCTCGACCAGTTCCATTCCGAACGATTCCTGCATAAATCGAGATTGAAACAGCACCAGAAGATAAAAGTTCCAAGACCTGCAAAAGTTCGCCACGATGATAGCGTAGACCGGCATGGACGTTAAGAATTTCCGCCACGGCGTCGTGGAGAACGTTGGGATCGGCTGTTGCGATTGTCCTTGTCCAAGGGAGTCTTCGATGTAGCGAAGCTCGCGCGTCGAGATGGAAGGGTGTTGCGACGGCTTCTCGAAGGCGAGCCACAGCCAAAACACGTACCAGATCAGCCCCACCACGCCTGAAACATTTGCCGACTCGCGAGCTGGTTCGCGCGCGAAATAAACGTTGCAACGAACAACGCGATCGAACACGGGAACCGATTTCGAACCAAAGTCTCGATCTTCGTTGTTCCGCTACGGGAGATCTGTTATCGTCGCGACGATATCGTGTCTCCGCGCGATTTCGAACGATGACAATTTTAGAACGTCTTACCGTAGAAATAAAACGGCGCCGTCCATCCGAACCACTGGCACAGGAAGCCCGAAAGCGGCATTCCTATAACCAGCGCAGCATACGAACCGCAAAATGCTAACGTCGCCAATCGCGATCTCTCCAACGGTGGCGCCCAATATTTCCAAATACCGTGGCACGCCGGGTACGTCACACCCTGATCGATCAGAGAACCATTCGGCTCGTTAATCGGGCGAGCGTTGGTTCACGCGAGCGCCAACGTTCGTCGAATGCGTCGAATAAAAATCAGATTATATCACCGTTGTTCACCGTTCGCACTCGGAGCCGTTTCAACTCTAAATCGAAAGTGTTGTCGTATCACGTTTTCGATCGCCGCTCGAACAATGTTCTTACGATCGGTGCGAAAGGTTTCGAGTGCAAAGGGTACGTGGGAGAGAACGGTTGAAAAACATATTTGGGATCTCACCTCCGCCAATCCTTTCAGAATTTGCACGATTATGTCGACTATGGGGTCTACTTTTAACGCGCCAGGCACCAATAAATTGAGAAAAGACGATACGGCGATCGCGAGGCCGAATATTTTGTTGGCAGGGTAGAGCGAAGCGAGAAACCCTCCTGGCACCTGGGTCACGAGGTAGCCCCAGAAAAACGACGAGTCCAGGGTACTCTCGGTGGCGATCGTCCAATTGAACATGAGAGTGTGGTTGTCGCCTACGGTACTGTTCTTCATCACCGTTTTCGCCATGGTCATGTTACACCTCATGCCGAACGATATTACAAATCCTGGAACAGAGACGTCGATCTCTGTACCGAACTGCTGCCGAACGCGATTTTACAAATTCGTAACGCGTTTTTCTTCGCGCGATAACACGCTGCTGCACGTTTTAGACACGCGTCGTTCGGGTTATCGAAATCGACCTTTCGTTTCGTAAGAAAATTCTGTTCGATCGCTCGTACTCCC